GAGAGACATGTAGAGAATAAAGGGGGTACACCCCTATTTATAGTGCAAAATTGGATTTAGGCTTTAAGGTTTCTCATAGTTCGTCTCTTAACTGAGATTGAATGTGGATCGTCGATCAAGGGTGACTTGTGGGATGAGAGATCTGAGTCATCCATTCTATAGATGGGTCATCAATATTATGGAACGTGCGTGAACTATTATCCCCCTTTTCTAAACCACTTTCCCATCAATAGAAATTAAGTCAAATTAAATCCAATCAAAATACATACCATAAAATAACATAATCATTCTTATACTTTCACAAAATCTATCAAAGATATATCAAGTCAATATTTACTTCAATATTTAGTCAATATATTTCAAGGGCACATTTTACCACATGTCACAATTGACTAATACCATAACATAAGGTCACATGGACTACAGTTCCATTCCATAAGATGTCAAGATTTCAATCTCTCAATCACTCCTACTGAACGAGAGACTATTGAAATTTAGGCCTTGATAGGCCATATTTCCAACAAGAATATCAACTGATGAGGGTTCTAATGGGTCACCCCTTAATAAGGTCGGAGTATGCTCGAATGAGTAAGTCGATGGATTGTGTGACCCTTGTGTGTGATGGTGGCCTACAGAAACGAGGGTCAAAAGCCTCATCCATGTACCATCACACAACATGCATATTGATAGACCATTTCGAGAAAGCAATCCACCTTTCAGAGTGAAGCGGATGCATATGCGAGAGATGCCCTTATGCACCATAGGAGCTGTGGTCGCATCATGTCTAGGTTATCTTGACTCATCTCTAAGGGATGACTTAAAATCCACAGATTGGGAATGTGACCCCTTGGCTCATTGGCCAGACTTTTGTGACCCAACAGGGACACATAATTGGTCATATCAAAGTTGTTGAGTCAGAACTTCCGATCATTCAACCCTCAATGGATTACAGGTGTACCCCTATGGCACATAATCTAACTCAATTACATGGCCCTCTGAAAGCATATATGTACTGTCTCTTCCAAACTCGGATAATGCATTTGAAAGAGTGGCTTCCCATGCGAAATGAAAAAGCATATGCCGTGTAATGGTCTCGTGTCAGGATATAAACTTATGTCCCATAAGTCTTGACCATTCCATACAGGAAGAATACTCAATAAGTACTTGGGTTCTATTTTTTTCATTTGGATTCTCCAAGCCCTGGCCGATTATAGCTAAACATGAGGCTAACCTATAAAATCCTGACTAGGAGGTGACCCTCACACCTTTTTAAGAAATTGCTTTCTCAATACGTGAACTCTCGATACCTCATGCATACTCAGGGTAAATCTTTTTCATCATGCTTATCATAGTGTGGTCCTTCATGAGTTATAGCCTATATGCATGAGAATCCATGATCATTTATAATATCCATTGATTACTTTGCTTCAAATCTATCAAATAATTTAGTCTCAGAGTGTCACTCAATTTCTAGAACTTTTTCATCACATTTTTACCTATAGGGGTTCATAATCTTTCCATGCACAACTGTTTTGGTGATCGGAGGGACCACCGTGTGTAGTTTAGCCATAACTCTCTTGTTCTTTATCCGATTCGATTCAAACCTTTGGCATTTTTTTTAGGATGATAATATCAGTGTGTTGAGATCTTAAAAAGTGATTTTAAGGTGTGTAATTGCTTCCCATTTGGATCAGGCACTCTTGTGAGAATGAACCACTTTTATACAATCCGAATGGACAAAATTTAGTCCTTATAAGGCCCGATTGCGTGGCCCCGACACAAGGCGTTCGAAACATAACTTCCCTACTTTTATTTGGCATTCTAATCCCTATTTAGTTGATTTTATTCCTTAGAATTTTGTTAGATTAGTTGCATAATGTATTTAAGCTTTGAACATAGTTTATGTAATTTGTGTTATGAAAGTGTAATTCATAAAGTAGTCATGCTTTATATGTAATTACCCCATAAGGGGTTGGTATTTGAGTTTATTTACAGTGGTTTTACAAGACTAGAAATGGCTATAATTGATATTTAAAAGATTGTAATTTATTCACTTAGTTTGTTTTTTAGCAAATGGCATATTGAAGGTGTCAATTTTGCCTTGTTTTTCGTCTTGTAAATTTAGTCTTGTCTTTGTATCCATTATCAATTTTATGCCTAGGTAACATGAGTTTTTCCCAACCAACTAGCCTAGATCGTCAAGCACAGTTCGGAATCAGTAATGCTTAGTATGGTCCACGAGGGACCACACTCCTACTGAGTTCATGTTCCACTATATCATTTCCTTTTACAAGCACTCATAAGGCCTTTAAAGGCCACATAAACCCAACATAAATAGTATCTACAACAATACTTGAATATCCCAAATACTGAGCAACATTTTTACCTTGATTATTATTCAACAGTTGCAAACCAGAATACTTAGGGTTTTGCATCAAATACAGAGAAAGAACCATATATTTCCCAAATAAAGAAAGCAAACTATAAATAATATCTACAACAATACTTGAATATCCCAAATACTAAGCAACATTTTTACCTCGATTATTATTCAACAGTTGGAAACCATAATTTTTTGCATCAAATACAGGGAATGAACCATATATTTGCCAAAAAACGAAAACAAACTAAAACAAAAAATTTGGGCAGGAAATGAAAACAAAATATAGTAACAAATGCTATAAAAACGAAAACAAAAATCTGAGCAAAAAATGCTATAAAAAAAATATGGGCAAAAAATGTTACAGGGAAAGAACCATATATACAGGGTTGTTCTCAGTATTTGGGATATTCAAGAAACAAAAACAAAATTTGGGCAAAAATTCTATAAAAACGAAAACAAAATTATGGGCAAATAATGCTATAAAAAAATCTGGGCAAAAAATGCTATAGAGAAAGAACCATATATACACATTTGCTTAGTATTTGGGATATTCAAGAACGAAAACAAAATATGGGAAAAAATGCTATAAAAATGAAAGCAAAAATCTGGGCAAAAATTGAAAAAATCTGGGCCAAAAATGCTTCAGAGAATGAACCATATATACACAGGGTTTTGCTCAATATTTGAGATATTCAAGAAACGAAAGCAAAATCTGGGCAAAAATGCTATAAAAACGAAAATCAGAGGGAAAAAATCCGGGCAAAAATACTCGGATTCGGTGTTGTTCTTTGAGGGTTTGGGGGTTTTGATGTTTATCGAGAGTGAAAACCAGAGGGAGAGATGGAAATAAAAAAACCAATGAGAGAGAGCATAGCATAACTTGAGAGGGAGAGAGCTTATGTGTGAGATCCGTGGGTTTGAGTAGGGACAAATGGTAGCAGCAGCGAGAGAGCTTGTTTTAGCAGTGATAAGCTTCTCTGTGGAGGAGCGAGAATACATAGAGAGAAGAGAGGGAATATGCAGAGAGAGAGAGAGAGAGGAGAAAGAATATGCAAAGAGAGCGAGAGGAGAGAGAATATGTAGAGAGAGCAAGAGGAGAGCGAGTACTCGAACCTTTTTCTCTGAGGGTGTCAATACCCGTGGGATTAAAAACATTTTTTAAACTGTCAAACCAACTCCCCGTGGGATGGTATCCTGGCCCTCCAAACTCAAAAGTTAAATCAACGGCGTTGGGCGCACCTGAATGCTATGAGTGAGACAGACAAACCCATCTTTTTCCTATATATATATATATGTGTGTGTGTGTAGGAAAAAAATACAAAATGCCTATAGATGAAGTTCTACAGTGCTTCACCTACGGCTTTATCACCGTTCAAAGTTTATCACATGGTCACAGATGTTTGATAGTGTTTGAATTTTAATATTTTTTTAAAAAATCATAATGATCTGAAATTTTGTAGGTGTGTACGCCTTAGTGAGATGCAATTGAATAAAATATAAAAAAAATAATTTGAATGATAAAAATTACACAAAATATCCCTATGGGTGAAAATGAACAGTATTTTTGCCCATAGGCTCAACACTGTCCAATTTTTTAGGACAGCATGGATTAAAGATCGTCACAGACATAGTGGTCCGTCACGAATATAGCATGTCCGTGGCATGATGTTTTTCACGCAAATTTGATGCAAAAAATATACATGGACTGCCATAGCTCCCGTAGGTCCATGGCAGTTTTTTGGCAAAACCGTCATGGACATAACATGTACGTGATGGGGCGAAACACTGTAGCAATTCGCCTATAGGAATTTTTAAGACTT